TTTATATATATGCGTGTGTGTGCACCTGAGTGTGTTTATAGGAACAAACACATGCGCAGAAGTACGCGTCGAAAGGATTTGCCAATGTTGTTGACTGTATGAACATGAACAGCTTTTTTGAAATGGAGGATTTAAAAAAAAAAAACAAACCACAGAGAACAGCACTAGTGTTGCAGCCCAAAGGAGGACTTCTGTCTGTCTGCCTTTTACTCCTTTTCTGCCCTGGTGTCCATCTGCTGTGACCTACGGGACTCAAAGACAGCTAGGGAAGGTGGTTTCCACAGACACACTGAAGGCATACAGTCAGTCAGCTGAAAGCAGGACGTCAGTGAGCTTTACACCAAAGCAAGTCAAAGGCTGGGTGCTTTGGATGCCCTTATTTCAGGCAAATGCAGGAGAAGGAAATTGTGTAGTTGTCTGTTGAGGGTCTTGGGTTGGCCATAAGGGGAGGACGAGGTGGAGAAAATGACAAAAATATAGGTCATGGGAGAACTGTATTGAGTAAGTGAGATGGAGGATCTTAATGGGTTTTGGAAGAAGCAATGGAGACGTATTTGGGGGTGATAGGGTGGTTAGAGTGGGGAGAAGGAATGTGGTTTTGTCAATATTGTTTGAGATGTGAACAAGTGAAATATAAAATAAAATTTTAGCAGTGTAAGTAGGAGGGCAAGTGAAACTTTTCCAGTACTAGAAGTGTGATGGACTCCTGTTCATTCAGACTCAGCAGTGTGAAGGATGACATATTAGGGAAAAGATTATTTTTAGAGGAAAGCTGGAGAAGTGCTTCTAATGGCAGGAAACAACAGGAGATCAGGATGCAACATGATATATAGTAATTATAATAACTTTGTGAGATACCGTTACAAAAGTAATAACCAAAATTGTGACGCAGAAGAGCATACAGAGTGGGCAAGCAGACAGGGAACAGAAACCTAAAGAACAGCAAAGAAGAAAATGGGGAATAGGAAGAACAAATGGAGATAACTAATGGTATGATCAAGTATGGCAGAGGCAGCTGCAAGCTGTGGCTGCAGGACGCAGGGAAGGATAGACCCTTGAGGACCACATCTTTAAAGACAGTGAGGAAACACAAAGTTTACTGTATTTCTGAATTAGTATTTTCTTACTGCTGTTTAAATAAAGGAACTTGATAGCATAGATGTCTTCTGGAGTTTTATCAAATATTTGGGGAAATGTTGTTTTCCTAGTTTTCTAGCATTTACTATGAGGAACAAGCAATGAGTCAGGATTGTCTCTGAACCAGTTGAGTCAGCAGTGTCCCTTACAGAGGACAAACTCAGTGTCCCATTCTTAATGGAAGATACAGTGAGAAATCAACTGCTTTGTTCCTGTTCTTAATGACAGAACAGCACTGGCTGCTTTCAGGCCCTCTGACACTTGTGGCTGTTAGTAAGCCACATGTACATGTACTGGTTAATGGTTTAGCTTTTTCAGTTGTTTTGTATCTCAGATCATCTCATCAGCTGCTGGTTGTTTATAGCCCTTAATTTTTCAAGCTCCATAGCCTTCTGATATTAATATCCTTCGTCATATTTTGCTACCTCTGAAGGAGAGCCTTAATGGATGTCGATGGCGCTCATGGCTGCATGGTATAAGATTGCTGAAAAATCACCCAATTATTACTCTTACCTTCTGATCAGAGGCTTGTACCATTAGGGATAAAGAAAGACAGCCCATCTCTTCCTTTGTGTGCTCCTTTAGCCCGGTCTCTGATTTTTCCCAAGAGTAAAGATTTCTGCTGTTTCCTTTGAGGGACTGTGCTGTGGCTTAGCGGATCCGTGTCGCTCCTTCACTGTTCACTGCAGATGTGCCTCTTGTAATTTCATGCTATCATTCCTAACTCCATTATATTTACTTACCTAAATAATGCTCCTTGATAATTGGAGATTATGCATTTTGAAAGATATAAACTGTTTAATTACCACTTTTACCTACTGTTTGTTAACATTGCATGCTGCATGTAGTGTCATGTGAAGCTGGTATGTTTATTTAATTTTCTCTTAAATCACGTCTCACAGCTTTGATAATCATTGCTCTGTAAATTCTAGAAATTGGAATTTTCTGGAAAAGTCAGAAATAAATGGAACACTCCAGTCCAAAGTCCCATGCAAGTGGTGGAAAAAGATGTACTGTATTAGCCAAATATGATGGTCTTTGGGTTTGGAAAGATTAAATTCAAGATGATTTGTTAGGGAGGTCTGTGTAGTTATTTGTAGTTTGTGTCATGGGTGGGGATTTATTGCTGTTCTGATAAATTTATATTCTTCAAAATAGGCTGTATTTTCCCTGTTCCCAACACACAGATGTGAGTGTTGCAATGGGGAACAGAAATTTTAGTGCTTTTAATATTCTTTGTATTGTGCTTTGGAACAGTTTTGCTTTTTAGTTGAACATTCCTCTAACAAATCAACACATTTTTCTGTAGACCTTCAGTTTTGTAGAAGTTGCTTTTGCTTTCCTTTGATTTTCTTTTTTTTAATGTTTACACTTCTGGTATTAGAAATCTCAGTATCCTAGAATTTCAGAAATGGCAAACGGTCTCCAAATTTTCTGATAATTTAAGCATCATCTGAAATAGCTTCAGGGTTTTCCTACCTGTATGTTAATGTTACTGATGTGTCCAGAGAAAGTCCTTCACCTGTTTAGTTCTGTAATATGGTGAAACTGTTCTTTTGTAACCTTTGCCCGTGAAGGAAAATCAATATAGTAAAACCTTGGATGGCATAAGGCCTTTGTGGAAAAACTTGCTTTTAATAAAACAAAACAAAACAAAACAAAACAACCCTGTAACCTCAAAAATTAAATGGCTTTACCACATTTTTAGGGTTTGCTTTGCAGCACCTAAATACTTCAGTATCACTTATTTAGATGAATATTCAGTCAGTGAATGTAATATCTCTACATATATCTCATATAGCTACACTATAGTTGCATAAATACTTTCAGAACTGCATAGTTAAAAAAATATTTTCTGTCATTAACATTGGTCTCTAAGAATGTGAGAGAATGGATGTTTGGATGGAAGCGTAAAACTAAAAATTATAGTTATCTAGAATAACCTCAAATTAAATGGCTTTACCACATTTTTAGGGTTTGCTTTGCAGCACCTAAATACTTCAGTATCACACATTTAGATGAATATTCAGTCAGTGAATGTAATATCTCTACATATATCTCATATAGCTACACTATAGTTGCATAAATACTTTCAGAACTGCATAGTTAAAAAAATATTTTCTGTCATTAACATTGGTCTCTAAGAATGTGAGAGAATGGATGTTTGGATGGAAGCGTAAAACTAAAAATTATAGTTATCTAGAACTGAAGGCATGGATTGATCATCACCTTTATGCTTATTGGCTTAGGGTAAAATGCAGATGTGTGCCAGGCTGATTTCAAAAGTGAACCTCAAAAATTAAATGGCTTTACCACATTTTTAGGGTTTGCTTTGCAGCACCTAAATACTTCAGTATCACTTATTTAGATGAATATTCAGTCAGTGAATGTAATATCTCTACATATATCTCATATAGCTACACTATAGTTGCATAAATACTTTCAGAACTGCATAGTTAAAAAAATATTTTCTGTCATTAACATTGGTCTCTAAGAATGTGAGAGAATGGATGTTTGGATGGAAGCGTAAAACTAAAAATTATAGTTATCTAGAACTGAAGGCATGGATTGATCATCACCTTTATGCTTATTGGCTTAGGGTAAAATGCAGATGTGTGCCAGGCTGATTTCAAAAGTGGTACAGAAATTCATTTGAGTAGCTCTTAAATTTCTAAATCATTAGGTTCAGGATGGAACTGTTAAGGACTGCATGATTTATCCTTAGCACAATTTTTTGCTAAGCTTTATGTGAAGGAGAGGAACGAGGTTCATGCAACCTTCTCCACTGTTAGAAGTAAGATATTGTTATTCTGCAGGATTGTACAGTGAAGTGGTTGCTGAAAACAATTTTTAATGCAACTTCAGTGGCCATTTGTAATAATACCAATTCTAACTTTCCATTTTTTTCAGGAAATTGTCAAAAATATAGCTCCTATTAGTTCTTTTATACCTTGAATTTCAGTTTGATTTCTCCTGTAGTGTAAGCTCTTTGACTTTTGTCAAGGCCCTCATTTCCTTTCTCATGGCATTTCATTAATATTATGTACTAAAATATTGAATGCTTCAAGATTTGTAATTGGGGAAAATGTAAATCTGCTTTTCTGTCTCCACCATCTGGCAGGAAGGATGAATTTTTCTGCCCGGCATTGTAAGAGGAGAGTTTGGTGGAGCTCGGTGGAGCTCAAATTTCCGTTTTCTGTGCATGATTTTTTTTTTCTAGATTTTGTTTTGTTTTTACAAAATATTGGTTTATTGAGAGATGTGTTACCCTCAATTGACATATTGACATTTCCAGGAACTGTGGTTATTGTTTTGAGAAATACAATCCTACACTGACAGATTCCTATCATTATTTGGAACTGTTGCTGAGGGTTAGTGAGACAAGTCTCATAAATAATGAAAGTGAATCATATTGGGGAGAACAGCAGCGAGAAATGGTGGAGTGTACAATGCTGACACCAGATAATTTTTGCTCAGCCATGACATCATGCAGTGTTAATGTCACGCGTTACAGTGGTGACTTTGACTTACAGTATTGAAACCCCGTTACGTGGTGGTAATTAACTTGTGTCACTAACTACCCCTTAGTAATTAGCAGCGCAGGGGATAACTAGGCTAACACTGTATGCCTCCCTGCGCACCACCCAGCCTCTCTGGGTGTTTTGCTGGAGCAGCAGACACAAATGTACTGGCCATGCAAGAAATACACTTGAATGTGGAATATTTTTTACATGGCTTCTAGTAACCTAAATTTTTTTTCTCTGTAGTTTTGCAGACTTTGACAGCTGTGGAAGAAGTTTCACACTGGACTGCATCTGATTTGCAGTTTTACAGTGAGCAATTGGCAGCAAAGGTAAAAACAAGCTCAGTTCTGGAGGAGTTACATAAGGCAAAGGCTCATCAGCCTAACTGTGGCTTGACCTGGTTTTGGGATGCATTTCTCAAGTTAACGGAGAGCTCTAATTAACCTCCTGTTAAAATAAGTTAAATCATTTCATTTACTCTGAGCTAACAAATTTCTCCCTGCTGTTATTTCTGGAAGCAGGTAAGTTTAATATCAAATGCCCTTTGCATGCCAGAAATGTGTTTCCATTATTATTTAACCTTATTCCTACAATGATGATGCCCCTTTATGTGCTGTGAAAATGCCAGACTTGAAGAGAGGCTAACATACATTGCCATAATTATTTTAATGAGAGAGAATGGAGAAGACACTTCTCTGCCATCTGTCAACAGAAAGCAGTCATATTGCATGCTAGACTTTATTCATTTACAAATTGTTCTTCAGTACTGAATACCGAGTTCTCTATTACTTCTTCTAGGTCAACAGCATTTATAATCTTTCCTGGTTCTCTGTGAAGTCTACAAATTATTAGTACAAAGACGCTCATTAATTTTGTGTTCTCGCATATCTAAAATTGAAACTTCCAGTGTTATTTGCTGCTTCGTGCATTCACCCTCCTCCACAACGTTGTACGCACAGAGGGGACAAATGGGTTGCAGAAGCACGTGTGCCACTTTTTAATGTGAAAATCCCATAATCAATAAATGCTCTAGAAAATGTTGAGGATACTTTGATTTTATTTAATTTATTTCTCACGGGGCTTTTATATTTAAAAAAGAAAAACCCATTTAATGCAGTTTGCTGGCAGGTGGTTGGAAAACCTGAGGGAAAGGAGGATTGGCAGTTTTTATATTTTTCCATACGATTATTCTCTTGACTGTTTTTACTATTACTTTAGTGGCAAGGAATTTGTTTCATATGAAATTACTAAAAGTCAGCAGTTTTATCCACCCACGTAATAGCCGCCTTGATGATGCTGTGATCTTGCCAATGTAAGATCCCATCATATCACACTTGACTTTTTTTACTTTTTAAAATGTGATTTATAAATAGCCAGAAATTAGACTATAGGGTAAGGTAGGCTGTGGCTGTGCTTTATGATGGCCTTTATATTATCCTTCAACATTTGCCTCTCAGTAATCTGTTCCATTTAGTGCATAGAAATGGCACCGGCCTGGACATGAACTGTGCTTGAGCTCTGCTCCAAACCATAGGAAATGTATAGGGTTTTCCATGTTTCAGAATCCCCTTATTCACTTTAGTTATATGGTCACAGCTATAAGTAAATCGAAAAGAATTTATCATGAAAAGGCCAAAACTTCCAAATAACATTAAGCAGTATGACTATCTTCACCTGTATCTTATTTCTTTATTAAAGAAGCTGCTGCAAGTCCCTATGACATCTTTCTGCATATTCTTATTTATGAATAACTGATAGGAAGGTGTTGCTTCTCCTCAGTGCTCTAGATTATTTTTCCACTTTAGCAGGATTGCAGCAAGAGCTGAGCCCTGGTTCGGCACAGAGGGCTGTTACTGCCCAGGGGAGGAGGAGGAAGAAAATGTCTCTATTCGGGATCCTTTTCCCATCCCAGAAGGTGTGGGCTCTGGGAAAGTTGCTTTTCGCCTGGGTGGCGGCCGTGTCCCCTGCAGCCCCCGGCATTGGGGTGGCACCGTGCCTTGGCTCAGCCTTCACCCCGTCCTTGGCTCGCGCCATCCCTTACACCGGAGCATCGAGTGGCAGAACTATTATATAGAAAAATATCACAATCTTAAATATTTTTGAAAACACTGTTTCATATAACTTTTTTCCATGCTCCTACTGTTCCTGTTTGGAATGAGGCTGTGATGCTTGAAGTGAACTTGATTTGCATTTGGAGACTTTGTGATATTGATACATCTCAAAATACTCGCTCAGCCGAAGAATGGTTGATATTTATCTGAAGCTTCAAGTTACTGTGTACAGAATAAAAAAATAATATAAAACAACCCAATGAAACTAAAGTTTTACTGGTTTGTTTTTTTGGTAAGTCTACAAAAAGATTTGAAAAGTAAAACTCTGGCTAGTCATGAGATGGAATATGATAGAAAAGAATTAAAAGTAAAACATATATGGAAAAAATACTCAGTTTTCAAACTGTTTGGTTTTAAATTTGCCTTATTTAACCACAGTTTAAAACAAAACTAAAATATAATTTCATTGTAATATAAATCCAAATTAGCATGGGCTTCTTTGAGCAATCCTGTTATGTTTTCAGATGGGTGCTGCAGTTTGAAAACCAGGGAATAGTGACGCTGGTTATTTTCTTAGCGCTCTGATTTTGAAATGTGAATCTTTTTCTTACTTTCCCTGCTCAGCCACTACAAATCAGACTTCTCATAGACTGTGTGATATTAATCTCCATGGGGTGGACACCTCTATGCAGGTGCTATAGCTCTTCCCCTCCTCCAGTTAATTCGGGTTTTAATCTCAATTCCTTTGATTTATTTACTTATGTCATGTGTAATGTGTCTGGCTTCTTGCCCTTGCTCTGCTTTCCCTCTTGTATACATTGGATGCGTTCTTGCTGTTTCACTGTTGTCTTCACCTCTTGCTTTTGTTCCTTGGGACATGCTTGTTTGATATTGTGTTCTCTGGTGATGAATTTCCTGCAGTTTGCTTACTCTTGTTTAACTTTCTGTTGTATTATTACACAAATTGCTTTTGGTGTTCGCTTCAGTTGAAACATATGAATCAAAATAACAGTGCTTGTGATACAGGAAAATACGGGCTCCGGCGTGGTGGTTCTTTATTTTGTTAAATTCTCCTAATCACATCTTCTTACTGCAGCCTCCTCAGGCGTTGGTACGCAGTCCTCTTCCCCTCCCACAATGGGCTGTTGGGACCTTTATTCACTCTGAGAATAGAAGATTTTCATGGAGGAAAGGGAAAAAGTGAAAACAAACAGTGAAATGCTTCATTTTCAGTTTGAGCTCACTGGTAGAAGAGGCCTCTCGATAACTGTTAGTAACCTCTTTATGAATTATGCTTTGAATAATTCAGATGAGCTTAGCTGTCTTAAAAAGAAATAATGAAATAGCAGCATATCTCTGTTTGCAGAACTTAACTGAAGTTTCTAAACGTGTGTGTCTTCCCGGCACTGCGTTGGGCTGGCCAGGCAGCCGTCACGCAGCAGCACTGAATGCAGTGGTACTGGTTATTTCATGTTTACCTTAGGCTAAATATTATTTTATTTTATCTATGCTGCTGTTCGATTAAATTTTTCTTTAGGAGACTGCCAGCAGATAGAAAATAAACAACAGGACAAAATACCTGTTTAAAGGTTTTAGAGAATTGCTGTAGGCTTGGTAAAGGATGAAATGGGCAGGCGCTCTCTGAATTGCAGGTCACTGTTACATGACTCAACCTTTCTGGAGTGTGGATTAAAATAGTGACGTTCCGATGCTTTCCACTAACAAGGACTTCATTTCTCTTTGTAATCCCTCCTGCCCCGGTGCTTCGATCCTAGGGGGGTCCCTGGGAGCTGTGCTCTAGAACAGCTGCTCCAACCCCACGGTAGGTTGCAGTGGTTGAGCATTAGCCTGCTTGAGGTTTGAAGGCCTGGGAAACAAATGGTACCATTAACTTGGGGATAAACACTGGCTGGTTAACTACTTACCTTATAACTATGTATTTTTTAAATTTGAATCTAGGAAAATACTTCAGATCATTTTTCCGTGATGTCAGTGTGCTGCCCTGATTCACTGCTTTGGTGAAGCCATGTGATTTTTATTTTTCTAATCTGTCCGAACACCTCTGCTGCACTGGCCTTAGTTACATTTCTCAGTGCTTCCTTGCAGAGGAAATAAGATCTCTGTTTATCATCTAGTCAAATGCCTATCTCATTATTCAAGCTACACGTCTGAGGTCAAAGATGATATCACATTTTCAGCAGTACAGATGATTCAATATGAGTACCAGTTTTCCTAAAGTAAAAGCAAAGTTTGTTTTTTGTAGGGCAAAAAAGGGGGAAGATAGCAAACTTCAGCTTAATTAGATTATTTGAAGTTAACATCGAGGCTCTTGGTTAGAGCAGAGGTAGAGCCCAAGTTCATTTCGGTTAGGGGTTAAGCAAGATGGAAATCTCGCCGCGTCCGTCTCTGCACTGCTGCCAGCCTGTCTGTCTGTCTTTGGGGCCTTCCTTACTTCATGGGGATCCTGAATAAAACAACGCAATAGTTTTTCTTTGTACTGTGTAGTTTAATATTTCAACTAATACTTGTGGCTGCTCTGATTATTTTTCCAGTAGTATTTGGTCCCTTTTCCTGCTCCCTGGTCCACTCGCATAAAGTTTGGTATTGAAGCAATGTTATTTCCCAGATCCACTGAACGGGTTTTAAAGTGTAACACCCAACTGTTAAAATTATTGCATCTTTTCCTTCGACACCTTGTCAAATAAAATGTCTCATTACCATGCAAATAGAAATCGTTCCTGTTGCCAGGCAGGCAAAATGTTACCGTACAGATTACAACTTCTTGAACCACAGCATAACACCAAACACGACATTCGGAACAAATATAACTTCTTATATCCAAGCAGCAGTAGTTTGATGGTGTGTGAGTGAGGAGGAAATGTCAGGCTGAGTCCTGAAATTTTAACAACTTAATTCACATTGCAGCACAGTAGTAACTATATCTAATACTATAAATAAGATGCAGTTGTTAACTGTTCATGTGTCATAATGTTTGATTAAGGATGTAGAGATAGGAATGAAATTTTAATTTGTTGAAGACACCAACTTTATCTTGCACCAGGGACACTTACTCGAGTGAGCAGACTTGACACGAGTGACTGTTGAGCTAGGTGTTGTATATGGGATTTTCATGTACTAAAAACACTTATTTTGTGGGTTCTGCATGAGTATTTGTTTAAAATTTGGGCCTTAGGATCATCAGCCCATATTCCTGTTTAGAGATCAGTTACAGTTAAGAAAAACATTTATGTGCATTTCACAAAAACAATCACAGTGCAAGTGACCTGAACCATATGCTCACTCCTAAGTTAGTTTGTAAAGTCAAATACTTTCTGTAATACCTAATTCAGAGTAATTCATTGGCAATGAGTGGATAGTAGTTTGTTTCGGAAGTATAGCCGTTTCTTTTGGACAAAAGTTTGAATGATTTCCAAAACTTCCAACCACCTTCTTTATTGGTGTTTATTCTT